TTTATTGTAAAATCCCTAGCATGTGCAGGGATTGGAAGTGAGATTTTTTTGGGTGTGTTTTGCATATTAAAAAAAGTACCATGAATTGTGAAGAATTACATGCTAGTTGCTTGAAAAATGCTTTCCAAAAAGGGCTTTAATTTGAGGCTTAACTAGCATTGTAAAGTATTTATATATTTCTAACATTTTCAAATGCTTACAGTTGTAATGAATATTTTTTCAGTACTAAATTAATCATCCCAACTCTTTTAAAATGCCCCACAGTATGTAGATGATGCCTGTTTGATGCTAGCCTTGGTGCCTTTTCTTCCTTGCAGTATTAGAACTTCTGCTCTTCTCCTGTACTATTACAAATGGCTGTTATCAAGTCAGGAAACCATTTCATTTTAGCTCTATTTTGATGTCACATTGGTGTCATGTGTACTCCACTTCCCTTCTCCTCTTTCTTCCACCAATACAGGATCCATGGTTTAGAGATTTAAAATATTCCTGGCAGATGTTTTAACTAGCCTGCTTTTAAATACCTCAGTGATGGAGAGTTTAGTGTCTATCCAGACAGTCTGTTGGTTTTTTTGTGTGTGTATTAACTGTCCCTTCAGTAGGCATTATATTTAAAAAAAACCAAAACAAACCCAACCAAACAAATAAGCAAAAAACCTCAAACAAATGCAAAACCCCAACCAACCAAGCAAAAAAATCCACAACAAAAAACCCAACAGAAGAAACCTCAATAACTGTCTCTTCTGCTACAGTTCTGTTTGGTACTTCTCGACCTATTCCTGGTGGCAGAGATTGCGGTTTTATTTCTCCTACTTAGCAGCTACTTACAGATTTGAAGTACCAGTACTATCACAGTCTTTCCTATAACAAATTAGCAACATTAAGAATTGCTAGTATTAGGCTGGCCAAAATGGCGTTCTCATTGCTAATGTACCAGTCTTTTATGGCTTTTTCCAGGACCAATGTGCAATTTGAACCGTTTCTTCCTTTTTTTTTTTTTTTAAAGTGGAAGATAACTTGGAATATATTTAATTGGGGATGATGTTTTTTCTTCTCTTCTGCTTTTCCTCCTCTGCCTTTTAATTCTTTCCCATTTATTTGTGTACACAGACATTGTCCTGTTATGTTGCACGTTTTCTGGGTATAATTTTGGAGTAGTTACAAGCACCCACCATTAACAACATTGCTTGGCTTATAAATTCTTGTTCTGTGTTTTTACTGAAATTCTTCGTTTTCTCATGATGTATTGTGTACCGGCTGATGAAAGCAAAGGTTAAGATAGAGTAGGACAAATGTAAATGGCTGTCAGCATGGCTTGTCCCTTTGAAAAACAAACACTGAGTCTTGTCTCAAGGACAAAGGAAACCGTTTTCTACTAATTCCTAAAATGGTTAAACTGCTAATATTATTTAAAAAAATACATGGAAGTACAGTATTACTATTACTACACTGAATTTTCTGTTTCTGTATTCTGCATTTCCTACAGAAGGTGCATCACAGGCAGCATTGCCTCTCAACCTAAGAGGTTTGGGCGCTGACCTCAAGCTTGGTAGGGTTACTCTTGTTCCACAGAAGTTTGAGAGGTGCTGAAGGATGTGATACGTACTGCCACCAGAAGTGATAATCCTGATGTACCAAATGCAGAATTGTTACAAAAACCTGGTCTATGTGCAAGTCTTGAGTCACCATTTTTTCTTCCTCATTTTCCATGTCTGGGGCTTAAAGTTAGTCATTAATGAGAAGGTTTCTAGTCTCATGAGAATAGCGTTTAGGAACTGAAAGCTCAGCCCCTTGTCAGTTTTGAAGGGGACAGGAGAAAGCATATTAGTGCAGACCCTTTCCTCATATAGTTTATCTGTTCATTTGCGCATGTGTGGGATTTTTTATTACATTTTTACCAAGTCACTTGAACTAGTGACAGTCTTGCAATACCTTACAGTTCAGAAATAAAGTTGTCTTAGCAAATAAAAACTTCCATTTTATCCTGTTGCTGAAGCACCTTCAATCCAATAGAAACCTTAAGCAGTGGACTCGGATCACAGCAGGTCCTGAGGCACGTGGTAACAAAACTGAAAAGGTGATATGAAGCATACTTCCTAAACTGCTTACAGTTGCATCTTTTGAATTCTAAGCATTTGTTTTCATAAACAAAGGAAGTAGTTTGTATTACTGGTGAAATTGGAAGTCTGTTGAGACCAGCTTTAGCATAGTATGTTATTGCCTCCTTTGAATACTCCTTTGAAGTATTTATTCAAAGTGCATCTTTAGTGCCAAAGGTAGTACTATAACAGAGGGATATGCTGAACACTTATCTTTATAAAAATTAACCCTAAAAGCTCGTAAATTCCCTGCTTTAACTTGGGGGGAAAAAAAATGAAAAAATCCATGCCTGCAGAGCCTTCAGCAAAAGCAATGCATGTAAATGGAAATTTAAGCCTTCAGCAGCTTGAGTGGTCTGTTGACTTATTTGAGAAGCCAGAAGCAATTGCCTATGAAAGCATAAATAAATGTCTGCAGGAAGAGACCCTATGTTTCCGAAGAACTGATGCTGCTAATGAATAGGGCATGTGGGAATGTAAGCAGAGGGTTTATTATGGTAGTTTGCTTATGTCTAGGAGATAGGCACCTTAGTTTGTGTCTTTGAATCGGGCTTCAAAGTCCCTGGTGACTAATTTTTAATGTCTGCATTTAGATGGGGTATAAATGATCAACCTTTTAATCCGTGTCATCATTGCTGTGCTATTGCTGTTTTTTCAAATGTTAGAAATGATATGTGATTTTTAGAAGTGCTCTAAGCTGCACTCAACATTGATTTGGGAGAACTTCTCTTCTGATCTCCATGGAAGTCACTATGATGCTCTCCTGCATTGTATTGGAGGAGTGAGTGTTACGTACAAACTGCAATGTAAGGCAACTTCTGTGCATTCAGTATTTTAACTGTATGTGTTTCTTGGCGATTGCATGTAAAAAAACCAATAAATGAGAGTGGGGAATTGGGATTGCGTTTTTCACATAAGAGGCAGAAATGGTGTGCCTGCTTTTAGGGGTAGGGTCATACACCATCAAGACAGATCTGCTGCCAGGTGTTAAAGCTGATCAATGCTTTTGTTACATATTTTGTAGATCTGGAGTATGAATAAAATAAAACTGTAATGTAACACATAATGGAGGGGCTATATTGAAAGGATGAAATCAGACTTTTTAATCTGTGCAGCTACTCTGTTTCTCTTCAGTCTCTCTCCTTCGCTAGACTGCATTAATTTTTTTCAGTCTTTCCTTATAGTTCTATGTTTTTAAGATCTATGATGAAGATATTGATGCTGTTCTGCGTATGGTGGGAGAGAAACTTCTGTGTCTTTCTAGAAATATGGTGTACCAAAACAGATAGAGTATTACACTCTAATTTTTATTGTGCAAAAGCAGAGCAAAGCACTTGCCTCATATTTTTGGGGGTACTTCTGTTTATACTTCTCAGACTTTTGGTTTCTCTGACAGTATTTTGCAACCACTTGGCATGGTGGACTTGCACTTACTGACTCTTGCACTGTAAATGCAGACACATTGTTGCTGCTACTTGTCCAGTTGGTTCCAATTCTATATTTGTTTTGCCTGTGGTAGATTTTTTTTCTTGCTGAGGAATAGGCTGCTTTTGTATTTGTACTTATGGGACAGAATTCTATTTTTTAGATTGCTTGTGGAGTTGGTGAGTAAATCCTGTCCTTTTCTTCATTGTAGTTGCATGCTCTCCTCCTTCTACTTTCTGATAAAGTAATAAGCACATAGTCTATTCTTCCTTATCAAAATTGTTAGTAAAAAGACTCAACCCAGCAGTATTCTTGTGAATGCCTAGTTGTGTATGTTCCTTCATTATGAGAGCACAAATATTAGTAAGTCATTATTTAAATTTCACCAGCTGTGTAAGTTCATGTGATATGTAAAAATACCAGCCAGATAAAACCGATCACGAGGATCGATACTACTGTAAAGAAACCATCAGATTGACTTAGGATGAGGAATTTCCTAGTTCTTATTCTTTGGTGCAGTGATGTGATTACAGTGGCATGATACTGTGAATGTTTCATGAATGTATACTGTCAGCACTGGGGACTAATGTGGTGTATTATTTTTATTCTACCTCTTTTTTGCTTTATAGGGTATTTTGTCTTAAAACCATTCTCCCCTTCATAAGTAAACAATATTGATAAGGGAAAAAAAGGTTAGTGGAAGGTTAAGGTTCATCTTCTACCTGGCATATGTATTAGTTTAGTTTATATAATGTTTAGATACAACATGAACAAAAAGCTGCGTTAGGGAAAAAAAAACACCCTCTAGCTAATTAACTGATTGAAGAGGTATCCATAGAAGTAATCACTTTAGGATCCAGTGTTTCCATCTGCAATTAGTCTTTCCTGGGAGAGATGGAATCTACTTTCCTCATGTGAACATAATTACTAATTTTAGGCCTAACGGATTTAGAAATGTCTGCTACTTTTACATAGATATAGTATGTGTTTAGTCCCGTGCCACTGATCCTGAGAGAGATATATGTTGTCCTGGCAAAACCTTCCACTTTCACATGACAGAGGCTGATAATCTCTCTTTCACTGAAGAAAGAACTCTGTGATAACAGAGGTTAAAGAGTTTAAACTCAAAACTGAAGTGGCATATGCTGTACCGAGAAGTGTGTGCCTTATGTAAGTAAAAACTTCCTGATATCTTACAAACTGGAATAGTATGAATTCTCCAACTAAAAATAAAATGTTGGGATTTTTGCTGTCCTATTCCATTACCATCTTAATTTATGAAGCTAAAATGGAAGTTAGTCGAAGCAATGTCTGACTGGTATTCATGCTGAGAACAGAAAAACTGAGCAACACTTTTGCTTAGAGAACAGAAATGAAATGCTGCTCTGCAATTCTAAGTGAACCTTAACATTTTATTTCTGAATACATAGTTATTTAGATGTTGGGTTTTGTGTTTTTTTTTTTTTTTTGGTACAGGTTATTAATGCTGCTTTAGCTCTGGCTGCCAGACCAAAAAGTCAAGTTGTGAAAAACAACATGGAGATGTATAGGAGTACATGGGAGAATCACATCCATGTTCTTACTGAAGCTGTGGATGATATAACAAGTATTGATGATTTTCTTGCTGTATCAGGTATGATAATTTTCAGAATCTGATTATTCTTCTATATGCTTTGAAAACGTCTCCTAACATTTAAAAGGAAACCCATGGAAGACTGGTTTGTGTAAGGTTTTGTGAAGCTGTTGCATCTGTTTAAAATGTCCCTGCATAGTAGGTGTTCCTACTCTGCATAATGTACAGCTGAGTAGAAGTTATTTGGGCAAACTGTAGGTGCATGAAGCAGAATGGCGATGTTACGGTGAGTATGTTTATCCATCATCACAGGTTCGTTTAGCTCTTAAGTTTTAAAATCCTCTGTGAGAAGTCATCTCCTAGAAAAGGAAGTACATACCAGTGTGCATACATATAAAACGTGAGATTCTCACAATATCCTGTGTTCGAATTACTGTGTTACTTCGTTCCACAGTAGTTGCTGTGATAGACAGCGGAAAGGACAGTGGGTTACTTTTTCAGGTTGATGTGTTTAAAAACACCTCATGAACAAAAAAAAATACACTATACCATTTTCAGTTAAAAATATTTGTTAAGCAAAATGTACTTATTGCAGAATCACAGAATGGTAGGGGCTGGAAGGGACCTTCGGAGATCTAGTCCAATCCCCCTGCCAAAGCAGGGTCACCTACAGCAGGTTGGACAGGAATGCACCCAGGCGGGTTTGGAATATCTCCAGAGAAGGAGACTCCACAACCTCTCTGGGCAGCCTGTGCCAGTGCTCTGCCACCCTCAAAGTAATGAAGCTTTTCCTCATTTTGAGACGGAATTTCCTGTGTTCCAGTTTGTGCCCCTTGCCCCTTGTCCTGTTGCTGGGCACCACTGAAAAGTCTGGTCCCATTCTCTTCCCACCTACCCTTTAGATGTAGATGAGCATTAATGAGATCCCCTCTCAGTCTTCTCTTCTCCAGGTCAAACAGCCTCAGGTCTCTCAGCCTTTCCTTGGCAGAGAGGTGCTCCATTCCCTTGATCATCTTTCTAGCCCTCCACTGGACTCTCTCCAGTAGTTCCCTGTCCTTCTTGAACTGGGGAACCCAGAACTGGACACTACTCTGGATGTGGCCTCACTGGGGCAGAAACTGATATTTCTGCAGATAATTACTAGAGATGTTAATAAAGGGAAGAAACAAGTCAATCTCTGATGAAGTAAACACATGAATCTCTTTAACCTACTATGAAGTCTCCTGAGTTTTAACATTCTTTCAAAGTCATTGCGTTAAATGATTCTTTTTAACTACACAACTGCTATTCATTTAAATGTCACATTTCAGATTATTTTTTTTTCCAAAATTTCCTTGGCTTGAAGAATAAAGTTAGATATTCCAGTAATAATTTGTGAGGGGGTGTGTGTGTGTCTGTCATTGGGCAGTTGCTCTTTTCAGAGTAGACTCCTGGCTTTTTGGTGTATTTTGTATTCATTGGTTGAGCAGAGTTGAATATTTCACAATAAGTAGAGGCAGAAACTGTAACTTAAGTAGCAGTGATGTGTGGGCCTACATATCATGAGGTCCAAAAAAGAAAACATTCATGTATTTGCTCTAAACCATCTGTAGATTATCATCTGTAAGCTTTGGTAGAAGCTTTTGGCACATGTTAGTTTAATCTGTTTAATTTCAAGTGTCATGCTTCTTAAGTGAAGGAACTCTGTCTACTCCTCAGTGTATTAGCACCATTACTGTGTTCTGAGAGAGTAAAACATTCTTATATTGCTCTGTCCAAATAGAAACGTTAAATGAGTAATAGAAGATGGTATCTAATTTTTTGGGAAACTACTTGGTAATTAGGACAGATAATGTACTTGGAGTGTTTTGCGTCGTGTTTGAGATGAAAGGAATACGAGAAAAGGTTTATAATGGATCTGTTTTTTTCTGTAGAAAGTAGAATTCTACAGCATATCTCAACATGGGCATATTGGGCAGAAAAATTTTTTTAAATAACATACTTCATTCAAAATTGATACTGTGTGTTGTCTGAATGTCAGATACTCACATTTGAGTTGAATGGCTGAGTTTGCAGCCCTGACTGCATCTTTCAGGTTGGCAAGGGAAGTGATTAATCCTGTAATGTTAAAATCATATTAAAAAATAGAGTATACTTTTTGTAAATGCAGTACACACACCTTCCCTAATAGTTCTGACCGTTCAGAATTCTAGATCATACAACAGAATTGCCTACTTAAAAATTTATTTTCAATTGCATCTCCAGTTGATTGGTCAGATTTTTCTAGCAGATATAAAATTTACTTCCCAAACATGATAAGGCTTGGGTATAGCTATTTTGTGGTTTACATTATGTATCTGCTTTTCACTCAGTGTCTGCATTACTGATGATTTTGGGGGTAAATTCAGTACTTTTAGCTGCATTTCTACTATGGACACTTTTAAGGTACAACGTAACTCCCATTAAAGTCAAATTCGCACAGAGCTCAGTAGCATGTTTTTTGAATCCCTGTTGTTGTGTTTCCGTCCTTGAAACAAGCTGAATGAGGGAGTTACAGCTGAGAGGATGGGAAAGAACAGATCTCCCAATGAAAAGGTCTTGTGACTGTGCAACCTGCGGGGTTGCTGAAACAAAACGTATGCATTCAGGAAAATTGTGTCTCTCCCATGATCATACACGTACTTCCCTGATGTAGCACTGGCAGAAGGAGAATTCTGTGGCAGATCAAAAGGGGTGAATTTTGAGCTTTTGGAAGTTTGGTGGCATTTATTGTATGTACTAATAATGCTATTATTTTTCTACGTGTATTGGTCTCTCCTTTTCATATTCCTCTATCTTTGTGAACTGGGATTTTTGTGTTTGTTTGTTTCAGTTGTGTTTTATTTGAAGGAAGACTAACACTACAGAAGACAAAAGAAATTAAATTAGCTCTTTACAAGTGAAAAAGAGGTCTGATTGCAAATAGCCAGTTTAAATGATGGCCCGTTCCTTATCAAGGAAAGCAAGAGCTCATGAATTGTATAGAAAATGTCATTGCAATTATGAAACATTATAAATGATGATACCATTGTTCATACCTCCTGTGAACAGAGAATCAGTATCAGCTTAGCAGTTTTGGATAGTTAATTTATACAAGCAAGATCGTGGGTATTAATCTTTATAACCCACTGACATTAAGTTTAACAAATACTGTCATCCATTTATCATGATCATGTGAAGTTTAGATTCATAAAAGTAAAATGAAACGTGCTATTCCATTTGCATGATTTTCCAGGAAACTAGTTTTGATATGCTTCTAATTTTGTTAATGTTGGTAAATCTTAAGTTTTATCCTCAACTCTGCTCTTGTAAACTCCCTCTTCAGTGTCTCTTTCCTGATAAAGTGAGGCTGAAAACATAGTTCGTGATGTTCGTTTTCTAATGTTGGTTCTTCTGTGTTGTTTTAATACCCTTTATTCAAAATTACATGAATAAACCTTTGAATATAAAAGGAAAAACTGAGATGTCAGTATTTCCTTCCTTTGTATGTACGTTTTTATCTCCTGATGATGGTGTGTAATTGCAATCACTTGTTAATTGCAGTTTTTAAGTATTTTAACATTATTACATGTTAGAAAACAAGTAAGAGAAAAGTTAGATCTTTTAATGCTAGAGTTAACTTCTACAAATGTTATAGGTAAAAAAGGCATCAAAAGTGCATTTATATGTAAAAAATTCTCAAGACCTGTGATTTTTCTTTTCTGTTGTCTTCTTGAAGAGCTTGATTGGCAGACTCCTATGCTGCTTTTTTGTCCTCAATGTCCTTCTCCTTGTCCAAACTATAATTATTCCATCTACTGGACCTTCTCTCCAGCCTTCCATGCTTTCTGAGTTTTGGTCTGTCATATTTATAATATCACTGTGCTTAAATCTTTATTATATTAGCTCCTCTTGCCAAATTTGAAGTTTCATGTGTCCATAAAAACATTTCCTTCATCTCTTTTCTCATTCCTCCTCATGTATGAACAAATTCTCTTCCTCTTCATGTCATGTGTGCATATAACATACACCCTTTCCTGTTGTGTTCTCGGTGTGATGTTGTCTCCGCTCTCTGCCCTTCCAAATACGTCCTTAAAAATACAATTTCTCCAAAGTGCATTGACTCTTGTAATCTCATCAACACTTTAAATTGAACAGTTTTTGTTCTTCTATGATTCTCTTTTCTTTTCTCATCAACCAACAGCTGCAAGTCCTTCTCCTCAGGGCTGCTCCCAATCCATTCTCTGCCCAGCCTGTATTTGTGCATAGGATTGCCCCAACCCACATGCAGGACCTTGCACTTGGCCTTGTTGAACTTCATGAGGTTTGCACAGGCTCACCTCTCCAGCCTATCCACATCCCTCTGGATGGCATCCCTTCTCTCCAGCATGTTGACACAGCTTGGTGTCGTTATCAAACTTGCTGAGGGTGCACTCAATCCCACTGTCCTATGTTGCCAACAAAGATGTTACACAGCACTCAGTCCCAAGTACTGACCCCTGAGGAACACCACTCGTCACTGGTCTCCACTTGGACATTGAGCTGTTGACCACAACTCTTTTGAGCGTGGTGATCCATCCAGTTCTTATCCACTTGTGTCATTGACACTCGCTCCTTGTCTCCCCTGCCTGTCCTTCCTGAAGAGTCTGTATCCTTCCATTCCAACACTCCAGTCATAGGAGTCATCCCACCATGTCTCTTTGATGCCAGTGAGATCATAGCCCTGCAGGTGTGTGCACGTCTCCAGTTCCTCTTGTTCCCCATGCTATGTAACTTTGAGTAGAGGCACTTAAGCTAGGTCCCCATTGAAGGTGACTGACTTGCTTGCAAATCCTTTGTGCTGCTTTCCAGGTCGCCTTCCTTTGAGGTGTTTTACTTGCATTTCCCCGTGTGCTCCTATTGCCTCAGGAGCTCCTGGCTTGTCCCTGTAAGACTTCCGAGTGTGCTGCAGTGTACCCAGCACATCTTGGAGCAACAGGCTGAGGGCTCTCGCTAGTGCCCCATCCCTTAAACTGTGTCGTCCTTGTCATCCCTTGGCTTGTCACAGGCAAGGCCTCTCTCCC